AGCCGTTAAATTAGTTTTAATCTAGATCACTCACTTCTGTATATAAACTAGGGTTTTTTGGGTAGTTGATATGCACATTTTCTATATTCCCTTTTCCATATTTTATGCACTCACATAGGGGCATTTTTGATTGTCCTTGAGAAGTGTTTGGATTTAGCTTTTGCATTATCTAGATCTAGTTTTTTCCATTTCCTTTTTTTTATTCTTTCCTTTCAGCATTTTAGTTTAGATCTAATTTTTTGCATTGTCTAGATCTCCCTTTTCTTTAGGCTTTTTTTCATTTTTCTTTTTTTGTTTTTTTTTTCTTTTCATTCATCTTCATGGTAGATCAATAATCTCTTCCTCTGACTCTGGAACAATAGTCGGTACAATTGCTTGATGCTATATAATTGCAATTGAATAACCAAACTCAGTTGATGGTGGCATTCACAGCACATGGTACAATTCTTCTTGCTCTTGGTGCCAATCTTTGTGTTCGGTTGGAGTTCTTTTACAGGAATCTTGGGGATGATGTGTGCCATTAGTTCGATCACTTCACCGTGATTGCCACATATCATTTTTGGGATGATGCTCAACATTTGTATGAGTTTCCCATGTGTCTCCAAGGGACGACGTTGCAATGGAACAATAGTTTGAGCACAGCTACTTGTGAGGATTGGAGTGTTCTCCCGAACGTTTTCAAACATGCATTCAGACATGCCAACGATTATGATGATGCCTTTTAATAATTGCATTGTCTTCGTTAAGGGCCATCTGAGTCGGTGATGCAATTTGGCGTTTGTTTTTTAACCCTTTTATTTCATGTGGAGCCAAATATGTCAAAGCGGATCAAGCTAGGAATGTTATGGCCAGCACTTCGTCAAGATCCTATCGGACTTGTGCATACATTTGCTTCTGCCACTCTTGATGATGCTCTTCACTTAGCATAACGTTATGAAACATCACTTCTTCCACTTCTCACTCCACGTCCTTCAATTCCACTTCCTATGGGTGATGGTCTTGTTTCAATGGAGGTTGATGCTACTGCTACTTGAGTCCAAGGCCACAGGTGAGGCTATGGTCATGGTCATGATGTTTGTTGCTGGACGTGTGATGAAGTTGGTCACACTTATTGGCATTGTTAGCATTTTCCAAATTGGCAGCCACCATTTCCTAGGTGGAGACTTTGGCATCACCAACATTCTGTTGGTGCTGCTGCAATGGAAGGTTTGGACTCTGAAATGCATCTAGGAAATAAGGAGCTGCGAGAGTAATGAAGGGACTTTTCGTAAATAAATTAATGACCCTTCCCTCTTTCTTTCGGGAGTATCATCAAGGGGTTCATTCGACACCAGTTCATCTAATGTTTACTTTTCAAGCTCGTTTTTATAATAAGCTATTTCCTATTATTCTCTTTATGTTAGTTGATACAAGTTTGAGTTTATCTTTTATTGCTCGATCTGTTGCCATACGTTGCCGTCTACATTTGTGTTGTGCAGTGGAGCCAATTTTCATTATTTATGGCAATAGTTATACACATGCATATGTACGGAATGAGGCAAACTTAGTTGTGCATGTGAGTGATTTCGAGCTTGGGTTGCAATCATTGCAAGTGGTGTCGAATCAAGTTTTTGACCTCATCCTTAATATGGATTGGTTGCAGCACAATCATGCCAAGTGTGACTTTAAGGCTTCTTCTTGTTGTCTTATACTTCTTTATATTTCATTTATTCCTTTCACCTTCATACCTACTTATCCCTCTGCTTCTACCTTTGTTTCCATTACTTTTGTCCCCCCACTACTTCCTCTTATATTTTCATTTTGTTTTGCTCTTCTTTTTTTTTATCCTTCTGACAATCTTTGAGTTACAACAATTGACCGGCTCATGAAGGAGTATGTTGATCTCTTTGAATTTGACCTATCGTCTGGGGCTATGATTGCGACACATCATCCAATTCTAATCGGGGATATTCGTCCAATCAAGGTTCTTGTTTGTCATCGATTACCCAAAAAGATCAAGCTTTTACATATAAAAGTCAAAGAGATGTTGGAGAAGAATGTTATTCGGAAGTCGCGGAGTCCTTGGGCATGTGAACCTCATCTTGTGACGAAGCCTAATGGGAGTATTCATTTCTGCATCAATTATCATCTGTTAAACAAGGTGACGATCCTGGATATGTACCTTCTTCCTCACATTACTGATCTCTTGGATCGTTTAGGGCGAAGTTGTTGGTTCACCAAACTAAATCTTGCTTTTAGGTACTGGCAAGTACCAATGGCTAAAAAAAATGTTTCTAAAATTGCATTTTGTACATCATTTGGTTTATACGAGTTCTTGGTGATGCTGTTTAGTTTGAACAATGCTTTAGCAACTTTCTAGTGGATGATGGACGAAGTTCTTTGTGATATGCTGGAGGTGACTGCTGACTTCATTAATAATGTTTTGATCCACTCGAAGGGGACGTGGGAGGAGCACATTCGTGATATTTGTAAAGTGTTGGATCGGATATAGAACGTTAGTTTAAAGCTTAAGTGGTCGAAGTGCATGTTTGGGTCCAAGGACATAACTTATCCTGGGTATTGTATTTCTTGTGAGGGTTTGTAAGTTGATCCTGATAAACTTGTGGCTGTTCTAAAGTTCCCTACTCCGAAGTGTGTGAATTATATGCAGCACTTCTTGGGCAAGGTACAGTATCTTGGTCGTTTTGTGGATCATTTTTCTGATCGCACTGCACCATTGCAAGCATTATTAAAGTCATCAACATCATCTTTCATCTAGTCTCCAGATTGTGAGTAGGCATTCATGGAGCTCAAAGAGCTATTGATGACTCCTCCGGTTTTGGCATATCCTCACTACACTTGACCTTTTATTTTACACGTGGATGCTTCTGATATTGGTTTTGGAGGTGTGTTTATACAAGAGAGCCCAAGTGTGCCTGGTTAGTGCCACCCTATTATGTATATAAGTTGTATATTACAACCAGCGGAGGTGAACTACTCCACGACAGAGAAGGAGTGTTTAGCAGTAGTCTGGGGTTTCAAAAAACTTCATGCATATCTACATGGTTCTCGGATATTACTTGAAGGTGATCATGCTATCATTACTTCATTATTGAAGCAAAAAAAACCTAGTTGGTCGTACTGCTTAATGGGCTTTAAAGCTTCAGATATATAATTTTGATGTTGTTCATCACCCAAGGAGTTCTATGGCTGATGTTGATGCCCTTTCTCAAGCTCCTCTTCCTTCTCCACTCTCTTTTTATGTTCCTAACAAGCCTATTATTCCAGCATTTGTGGATTTTCTAGATGAGGATTCTGTGTTATCAGTGGTTGCTATATTTGACGTTCAATGTCCATAAGGTGCAGAGCAAGATCTACTTTTTCTTGATGAGGTTCGTGAGGCTCAAAAGTTTGAGCTGTGGATTCGAAGTCTTTGAGATGGATTTAAGAATCCTGCATCACTTGCTAATGACTTGCCATTCCGGCATTTATATTCTCAATATCACCTTGAAAATAACCTTCTTTATTTTGTAGGGACAGCTCCTAATGATCTTTTATGGTTGGTGGTACTTTTCGTCTTTATTCCATGGTTTCTCCATGCTTACCATGATTCTTTTGTTCTAGGCGGGCATATGGAACATTGTCGTGTGACCAAGAAGTTGCATAGATTTTTGTATTGGCCGGAGATGCAACGTGATGTTATTTAGTATATGCATAGTTGCGTTTGGTGCCAAGCTCATAATACTCACCCTTGTGCCATAGAGTCAATTGCAATTTCCCCTTTATTTGAGTTGGTGGTGTTTAATTTTATGGGACCTTTTCCAGGATCGACTATTAGCAATGAATATGTTATTATTGCTTCTAACTATTTGACTTGTTGGGTGGAAGTTGATGCTCTTGCTAGCACCTCTACAACTGTTGTTGGATACTTCCTCCTGAATCGAGTGGTGTTGCAACATTTTTGTCCAGAGCGGATTCTTTCAGATAATGGTCCCGCATTTATGGCTGAGGCATTTTTTGTTTTGACGTTTCGGTTGGGGATACACCACACTTTCACGAGTGCTTATCATCCATAGTTAGACAGTTTGGTAGAATGGCTCATTCGGACATTCAAAGGAATGATCATAAAGTATATGAACTTTCAACATTCAGATTGAAATGGTTATTTACTGTTTCTTTGGTATGCATATGTCACAGGGGTGCAGAGTTCTGTTAGTATTTTACCATATAAACTTCTATATAGTCATGATCCAATATTACTAATGGAGCTGGGTTTACCTTCGCAATTGCCATGAGCTACCAATACTAGGTTGTGGGATTAGTATTTGACAAGTATTCTTCCACTTATCTGAGCGAAGTCTACCAAACATTTAGGCTACATACAAGTGAGACAACAATGGCACTAAAACTTCCATCATCGTCCACTTGCGGAGTACAAAATGGATGACTTTGTATTAATTTGTTTTCCCCATCTTACGATACGTGGTTTATCTAAGGGGCTCCTTACTCAGTGGAAAAAACCATATTGGGTGTTATGGCAAGTTGGATCGCAAATTTATAAAATTTGGCATGACATCTAGTAAGCCAATCCTCCAAAAATTGTGCATGTGTAGCAGTTAAAACACTTCGTACAAAGGGATCAAGAATAACTGATACCACTTACAGATCCATCAATGCCTCCTCCTAACGTTTCTCCAGATCCTAGCCCATCTATAAAAAAATTCTAATGATCTTTTATTATTCCGAGAGGAGGGGATGATGTGAGGTCCAAGTGTACAATTACGATGCCATATACTAATATTAACATAATAAGATTTTGGTAACCATTGAATTGATTTTAATCCAAACCACTCATTTCTATATATAAATTAGGGTTTGTGGGTTAATTAATATGCACATTTTTTATATTCCCTTTCCATATTCCATGCACCACACAGAAAAATTGATTAAAAAATGTAATTTTTGATAATCATAATATTTAATCTCGAGATATAAAAAGAAGCATTGGAAAGTTAGGGCTTATGTTCCGTGGGTGGATTCCGTTCTTGGACGAGCCAGTGAATCTCACTTTTGAGGTAAGCGATGTAGTCTTTGCGCTGCGGGCGTGCGGCGTCACGAAGGATTTAGAATGCGGCCGGAGAGTTCACTGCAGCTCACTAATCCAGGGCTTCTGCGGGATCGATATTTCAAATTCTCTGGTGAGAATGTATGGCCGATGTGGGAGCGTGGCCAATGCGCTAGTAATTTTCGAGAGAATGCCGAGCCACAGCACCGTCTCGTGGAACGCGTTAATACTAGCATACGTCGAGAACGGGCAAGCTGGTTTAGCTCTGGAGATTTTTTTCTCTCGTATGGAAGAAGAGTGGTGCTCGTCCAGCACTTACGTTGCTGTGCTTATGGCTTGCTCTAGCTTGTTGGAAGAGAAAGAAGACGATTGGCACAAAACTACGTGCTTGGAGGCAGCAAAGTCCGTTCACTTGCAAGCTACGCAGAAATTTGAAGGGAAACTCTCGCAGGTGATCTTCGTGGCGAACGCTTTGATGGAAACGTACGCGAAGTGTGGAAGCATGGCTGATGCTTGGGAAGTTTTCCGGGGGATGGATTCCAGGGACGTTGTGTCATGGACGACGGTGATGCGGGGATATGTCAGGAACGGGGAAGCTCAGGTGGCTCTCGAGCTCTTCCAGAGAATGAAAGCTTGCAAGTGTGAACTGGATTCCCGGGCTTATGTCGTGGTGCTTTCGGCTTGTGCGAGCTTGGCGGACCGAGAAGAAGGGGCTCAAGTTGGCGGTAAAACTGTGAAGCTTAAGATCTTAGAGAAGGGGATGGAGATTCACTCGCAGCTGGAAACTAGGAACAGGGTCAAGAAGATGGAAGGCTTTGGTGGTGACTTGTTAGATTCTAGAAACCAAGAACAGGTTTTCTTATCGGGTAGCCTGGTGGATATGTACTGCAGATGCGGAGCTCTAGTGGATGCTCAGCGGGTTTTTGATAGAACTAGTCACGGGCAGCGAAACGTGGTTCTTTGGACGGCTCTCATTCAGGGATATGCCGAGAATGGTGAAAACGAGGTGGCTTTAAGATTGTTTTCGAGCATGGATGGTGTGAGAAGCTCGAGAACTTTTCTTGCGGCTTTGACGGCTTGCGCTGGTTTAGGAGCAAAAGAGCAAGGCAGACTTGTGTCCGGCAAGGTTGTCAAGCTTTCGAGTTTGGAGAACGGGATGGAAGTTCACGCTCGTGCTGTGGAGGCAGGAGTTTCTTCCGACTTGTTCGTGGCCAACACCTTGGTCGACATGTACTCCAAGTGTGGGAGCGTGCTGGATGCTCGTCGCTGCTTCGACAGGTTGGTTTCTCACAGCATTGTTTCGTGGACTGCTTTAATCCTTGGCTGTGCAGAGAATGGCGAGAACGAGCTGGCCTTGGACCTGTTTAGACGTGTGAGCTGCCGAGCAAACTCTCTAACTTATGCCGCCGCTCTCACCGCCTGTGCAAACATGGGAGCACTCCAATCCGGAAGGAAGATCCACGCGGAAGCCGAGGCTTTGGGATTCAACACCGCCGAGCTGTCGCTGGCAAACTCTCTGGTAAATCTCTACAGCAAGTGTGGCAGCATGGCTGACGCTGAGAAGATCCTTAGATCCATGAACAGAAAGGATCTAGTGACTTGGAGCTCGCTCATATCGGGATACAGCAGCAAAGGAGCAACACAAGAGGTATTTACTTGGTTTCACAGCTTGCTGCTCGAAGGCCTAGAGCCGGATAGCATCACTTATCTTTCCGTGCTTGCAGCGTGTAGCCATGCCGGACTTGTCACCAAAGCCGGGGATTACTTCCAAGGGATGAGAGTCAAGCCAGAGATCCAGCACTACCACTGCATGATCGACGCTCTTGGACGAGCAAATCTTCTCGACGAGGCAGTAGAACTTGCCGAGAGGAGGATGCCTTGGCAAGCTACTGCCGTGACATGGACGACGATTCTAAGTTCCTGTCGAAAGTGGAAGAACGTAGCAGTGGCGAAGCTGGCTTTCAAAGCTGTGATGAGGCTGGACAGGAACGAAGGCGCGGCATACGTTCTCATGGCCAGTATGTTTGAAAGCTTGGAACTCTGGCAGGAACAACGAAGCGTGCTGGCTATGGCTTCGTCCAGCCAAAACTTTGAAGGAAACAGGACAAAGGTTATAAAAAATCGAAGAGCTTGATTATACTCTTCTTGTAGATTCTGTACAGCCATGGATTAACAGTTGTCCATTTCTACTCAACATTCTCTTCTAGTTGCTTGGCGTTGAAATTCTGGCCGTAGAGACTAATGCTGCTTAGAGAAGTTCTATATCTGTGTTTGAAAAACAAAAACCGTTAAATCTAGAAAATACAAAGCTTTAAGAAAAAAAAAAGAGATAGAAACCTGCTATTTGGCTCCGACATATCTTGGCTGACTCTCGTGCTGTAAGCTACGTAAACAAGCGCATTGTTGGCTTCATCATAAATCCTGCCAGGAAATAATAAACGAAAAGTAGAAAGTTTTAGAAAGTTTTAGGGGACAAAAGCAAAAAAAGAAAAGCGCACCTCCGGACGTGCATCGTCTGAAACCAAACTGACCAGATTAGATTTACAGTGAAAGCAAGAAGCACAAAAATTTTACCTTGAAGAACAGGTTCCTCTTTGCACTGAACACCTCTTCCCCCTACATTGCCCAAGAAAGAAAAAAAAACTCGAGAAAGTGTCATGGATTTTTTAATTTTTACTTTAACCTTCAAACCGAGGGCGATTGGCGAAACCAGTCTCAGCGGGCCTGTCTGAGATGCAGAAACAGAAGCCTGTAAAAGAAATATCACTCATCGAACGAGTAGAAAAAAAACGTAGATTTGTTTTCACCTGGGAAGGATCCGCGAAGAAATCCCTTGAGAGACGCTCGGTCAGGGATCGCTTGACATTGGAGATGTGAATTGTAATGCCTTCAATCTGTGGAGAAACAAAAAGAAAAAAAAGCTAGAAAAGAGCGTCCCAGCCAAAAACCAAAAAGAGAAAACCTTTGGATCGGGAAGAGCAGTGACTTCCACAATGTCATTGAAGAGCAATCCACTCGCCTTGAACTGCCCAATCTGCGAGAAAGCTCAAGCATCAATCAAAACACACACACAAAAAAGAGGAAAAAGCCCTTGTTTCGATCTCAACCTTGGTCGCCGCCGCTGCTCCTCCCGATTCCGCGACAGCCGGTTGGAATCGATCGCCAAAAAACAAGAGAGCTGCCGCTGCTGCCCCTGCGGTTCCAACGCTCGCCAAAAACACCCTTCTTGCCATAAACCCTTTCTAGGTCTTTAAACCCTTTAGAATATTCGCAAAAATCATTCGAGATTCCAGAAAATCTAACTTGCCCACCTGGCAGCATATATTTCTTACACATGGCACTTCTTCTCACGTGGCGGTTCCCAGAAGAATCTCACACCGCCATGGCGGTCTACAGCTTTGATCCACCTCCAGAACGAGCAACTTATACAAGACGTAGTAGCGATTCCATCGCATGAGCTTGCCATACGATAGCCCCTCGCAGCGCTTCTTCCACACGCAATCGTGCACAGCGCAGGTCCTCCAGCTCTTGGACACCGCCAGGCACTTGCCCACATCCACAGACGCGAGCATGGGGAAGATCTTCTCTTGCATTAGCACCGATCCTAGCGCCTGGAGTGGATCCAGGGGTCCCGGCGCTGGAATTCTTCGCGGCCATGACCTGATCTTCTCCTCCTCGAGCGCCGCGATGTAGCGGGGACGAACGCACAGCCGCCGGCAAGGCCCACAATCGATGAGATTGCCGCTGTAGTAGAGAGTGCTCGGGCAATCGCGGGATTTCTCCTCGGAATCTAATCCAGAGCACATCGCCTTGGCAGTTGGGACTGACGATTTTCCAAAGAATCCACAGCGCATCCCCATTTCCATCTGAAAAACTATTTGGATGTGCGAGAACTATGTACACTTGGCAGACCGACAACTCTGCCAGCTGGTAAGTCGGTCGTTTGTACACGTGATAGGGCTGACATGGAGCCTGTGAAGTCAATGTTTGACTTTTGGACACAATGTCGTCGAATCATTGACTTAGTCAATGAAAGCACTGTTGGGAGTGTGTATAGGGTTCTTGCGCGGCGAGGCGATTGCGATGACCTCTCGCGCATCTCTCGCCCAATTCCAGGTAGGCCGGAATCCAGTTCCACTCCATTTTCAACGGCATTGCACGATTGATCGCTAGCGCGCGCGCTGATCAATCAAATGGAGGCGCTCCAGGCGGTGGCGTCGCTCATCCAGGGCGCCCAGGCGCTGCTCCAGGGCGTGGAGGCTCTCTCGCGGGCGTCCAGGGATCTCTCCGAGGCTCCCCAGAAGATCGCCCAGTTAGAGGAGACGCTGGGCGATCTGACCAAGCTCCACGCCACGCTCCTCCACAACCACAGCTCCAAGCTCCACCATCCGGAGCTCCTCGCTCAGCTCCATAGCTTCGAAGCTCTCATCCGCGACGAGGACTTCCAGCTCGGCCGCGCCAAGAAATTGGTGCTCCTCCGTCGCCGCAAGGGACCGCTCAAGATGAAGATGTATCTCAACGTGGTGGTCACTGCGGTCACTGGCGACGAGCTCTCGGAGATCGTCAAGTCCATGAACTCCCAGCTCCTTGAGTGGATCAACAAGAACAGCATCAAGGCCACCATCGCCAAAGCTTTCGACAAGACGGCCGAGAAGCTCACGAGCTATCTCCGGGTCCAGGCCCAGCCGGGCTACCACCCGGTGGCGTCCAAGGCCCGGAAGATCCGAGCTCTCCTCGAAGACGAGACGAGCTCCTCGCGAAAGGTGGTGCTTATCCATGGACTGTCCGGGATGGGAAAATCGTGCCTGGCTCGCTACGTTGCCGCGGATCCGCCCAAGCGATTCGTGCATGGAGCGGTGGATTTGCTGCTCGGGCAGGGGTGTAGCCGCCGGAGCGGAACTCCCGAATATCACTCGCGGCTAGCGGCAAAGCTCTGCCATTTGTTGCGAGTTCTCGGGAGGAAGAGAGGAGAGATAGATGGATTGGATTTGGAGGAGGCTTGCCAGCTTCTACAGGAGACGTTGCTCGGGAGGAGCATCCTGGTGGTGCTGGACGACGTGTGGGAGCCGGATATCATCGCGAGGTTCACGCGGCTGTATGACAACGAATGCCGGTTCCTGGCCACGACGAGGAACCAGGCGGTGTATGAGACGACGACCGAGGCTGAAAAGGTGGAGATTGGCACCGAGGATGTGTCAGAGCTCAGCCGGGGGATCTTGATGCAGCACAGCCAATTGTCCGAGGAGGAGCTACCGGTAAGCTTTCCATCTCTTGCCTTTTTCGTTCCTTCCTTCTTTCGTTTGATCTTCTTCTTGCGTGCCTGATCCTTTTGTCGATCTTTGGGTAGTGTCTTCCTTTTCATCTTTTTCTTTCCGCATTGTATCTCCTTTCGATTCATTCTTTTGGCGTGATCTTCGTCCTGATCATGCATTTCTATCTTCCAAAAACTCTCTTTTTCTAACACAAAACATAACAGGAGGCCACAACCGAGCTGCTAATCCAGAGATGCGGCCACCACCCTCTCACTCTCGCAGTCCTCGGCAAAGCTCTCTTCAAAGAGACCCGGCCCGAGCAGTGGGACAAAGCTCTGGACGATCTAAGCACCTACGCGGCCCAGGCCCCCGTCCCAGTCCACTACCTCAACGACAAAGAAGCCGAGAGCGCCGCCACCGTCTTTGGCTCCTTCGACTACAGCCTCCACGCCATGACCACTCACGCCAGAGATCTCTTCCTCTCTCTCGCAGCTCTCTGCTGGGCCACTCCAATCCCCGAGCCTTGCCTGGAAGCGATCTGGCAAGCTCTCCATCAAGACACCACCTTCCGGATCGTCTCTTCCAAGCTCTGCGACAGCTCCCTTCTCAAGCGATCCAGCTCCAGCGGCAGCGACACCTTCCTCCACTACACCGTCCACGACATGGTGGCGCTCTTCCTCGAGACCAAGATCGAGGAGTCCATCGCGCTGCTTCTCAAGGAGCACTCGCTCATCCACGCCGAGTCCCGTGCCGCGATCGTCCCGTGGCTCTACCGCTTTGGCAACCGGAGGATCGTCAAGCTCGCGGAGGACTCCCTGGTGGAGGTGTTCTGGTCCAACAGCGAGGAGCTCCCCGCGATCGTTCTGTGGAACGTGGTGGAGGTGCTCTCCACGAGCAGCACGATGGCGGAGCTCGAGGCGGCGTCGATCGGGTTTAGCCGGATCCTGGGGCCGGAGCTGGCGAGGCTGTTCTTGCTGGGATTCGAGGACTTGCATGCCGCGGTGGCGCGCTGCGTCGCGAATTGCTTCGCGCGATCCGACTACGAGCGCCACACTTTCGCGCTCGTCCAGGCGGGAGCTCCCGAGAAGCTGGCGGTGCTCGTGAGGAACCACGAGGAGTTCCATGTAAGGCGAGACGCGGCCATGGTTCTCGCCAGGCTCGCCGAGTTCCGCCACGACGCTTGCGAGGAGATCATGCGAGAGGTGCCGCTCAAGGAGGTGGTGGAGCTGCTGGATCCCCGCGCGGAGGAGACGCACAACCCGGTGATCGATTCGCTCATGACGCTGGCGCGCGCCGGGGAGGAGGTGGCGGTGAGAGAGATCTTCCTGGCCGGCGCCGGGAAGAAGCTCGAGGAGATGCTGCTCAGTGGATCGGAGATCGCCCAGCAGCGAGCGATCGTGGCGCTCAAATCTTTCCACGAGCTCGGCGGCTCCTCCGTCCAGGGATTCTTGCGAGGCTCCGGGATCCTCCTCCGGCGGGAGCTTCCATGGCAGGCCAAGCTCAGCCTCGAGAGATTGACAGTGCTGGATCGAAAATCATCGTTTAACCAGCGGTCGTCGAGCAGCGCTCCTGCCAAGCGGCACTGGATCGCGCAAAAGGTGGCGGTGCTCCGGGATGGATCCGAGATCGAGCAGCTGCGAGCGATCCAGGAGCTGGCCCCGGCGATGGAGCGAGCCGGAGCCGGAGATCCACAGCTTCTCGACTCTATTCTCTCCACCAGTCTCATCGAAGTTCTAGCGGCAAAGCTGGATCAAGCCGCGAGCCCTTCTCCAGCGAGTTCTTCCTCTCGTCAGATCAAGCACGCGAGCAACCGGATCAAGTCCGAGGCTTGCTTCGCGCTCGTCAAGCTCTCCGCGGGTGGAAGCCGGTGTATCAAGATCATGATCAAGGCAAAGGTGGTGGACAACTTGGTCGTGGCCATGGCTTGCAGCGCCAGCTCCGCGCTCCAAGAGGGTGCATACTCAGCCCTCCACAACCTCGTCTTCACTGGGCGCCGGCTCGTCACCGATCAAATCCTCCGCGGAGGAGGAGGAAACCTGGTGGATCGAGTTCTCGGCCTCTTGGACGCTGGCTTCCAGATCGGGCTCTACTGCGTCCAGGACCTGGTGGAGATTGGAGGCAAGGAATGCATCGAGAGGCTCCTGGCGGCGCGAGTGGTGGAGAGATTGGTGGCGCTGGAGGGAAACTCCAGCAGGATGATCGGTGGTGGAAAGTTTCGAGACTCGGTAGTGGAGTTTGCCAAGCTTGTGGGGAAGTCGAGTGGATTGTCTGCTCAAGAACACCGGGTTCTCAACTCGCAGCTCGTGAGGCACGCGAGAGCGGCGGTGAAAGATCCCAAACAGATGGGGAAGATCACGAGTGTGCTGAAAACTAGCTACGAGCGTGGAGAGGGATCGGGATCTGGATCATCGGGATCTGGCTCCGCCAAACGGAGGAATTCTTTTGCTGGCTCACATTCCTCCGCTGTAAACTTCTAGCAGATACGTAAGAGCGATTAGTTCCTTCTTCTTCTTCTTCTTCTTCTTGCTCAAGAGAAAAAGAAAGGAACTTTTGTCTACCTCACGCTTGCGTTTCGCATGATAGAAGCTCAATTTGATGCACCTTTGCATCCATTTCGGGTTCTCTCCTGGACTGGTCCACCACCTTGAGCTTCGAAAGCACAGCTTTGGTTAGAAAAACTCTAGAGCTCCATCGATGATAATTGATTTCTTACCTGTGTGGATTGAAGAAGCCTGAGAAACTCGTCTCGGTGGCCAGGGGTCCTCTCCACTGGATCCGTTAAGAGTAACCTCGCTTTTCGTCCCCTGCAATGCAAAGAAAAAGAGATTTCTTTTTCTCTGAAGATGCACAATGTAAGTTAAGCTGTTTCTCACTTCTTTAGCAGCTGTGGAGCAATCTTTGCGAGACGAGCCGGCGAAGATTTCATGTAGAGTAAGTCGCAAGCTAAAACCTGGCGAGACAGAAAAAACGAACGGAGGAATTTCAGGAGATCATCGCAAGACTAAGCTCACCGTGTCGAATTCGTATCTCGAAAGATCCCTGTCCTCTGTCCAATCGAAGAGCTCCGCAGTCACAAGCACAGGCGTTTTCGGAGCTTCTGGAGCTTCTGAACTGGCTTTCGCTAGCAAACCATCCAAGGAAGAACCCAAGAGCTCTCCAAAGCTCGCCACATTCGTCGTGATTCCTGGAAAGTTTGCATGGAAGCTCAAGAGAGAGCATAGCAACGCCAGTGGCTCTTGATCCAGCAACACGACCTGAAAGTAACCGCATGAAACAAGAAAGAAGAGAAAAAAATTGGGTATAAAACTCACTTCTTTCGCACCAGCAAATGCCGCGGCAAGACCAGCCAAGCCTGAAACTTGAAAAACATGAGAGAGGGAGAGAGAGAAATAAAAATTCTGGCACTCAAAATTTCACCTAGGCCAGCCCCGAGATCACAAACTTTGCGATGAGCCACGAGCTCTGGATGACAAAAAATCTATACAGAAAATGCCAACTCCATAGAAAACTTGCTCGCAAACCTCTTCAGCGAGAGCCATAGACGATGGCCAGACTCGGCACCAGTAAGGATCCTTCTCTGCAAGAAAAGAATAAAACCGAGTAGAAACAAGGAACGGTACGCGAGAAGGAGAACATTTTTAATACCCTGTCCAATGTACATATCCAAGACTTGATCCTCGTCTTTGGGCTGGACAATGCTGAGCCTGCGATTCTTCACTGTGATCTGCCCAAAAACTCCATTTTCCTGTCAATCCCAAAGGAGATCCCTTTCTTACATTCGCGCTGGATAGGTCCAGCTGCAATGGCGCATACGTCCTGTTGGGCAAGGGAATGGAGGACGACATGCTCATGGCCTCACACCCTAAGTTTTGAAGATTTAAAAATGGTTTAAGATACCTAAGGATTAAATTCTTTATTTCTCGCTTTAAAGGATGGATTCCTGCTAGAAGGAGATGGTGTTCTTTTCTGGCATGCTTAAGTGTGTCCATACACTACAATTAACGACACGTTGAGTTTCTTGAGAGCATAGTGCCAATGAAAGAGCATGCAGAGCATTGACAATTCCAGCGCAGCAGAGAAAAACAAGGGTGGCAGAATTCCAAGCTCGATTTTGACGTACTTGTCCGTTAAAAGCCCTAAAATTCAAAATTTTGTTTCGCTCCGCATGATTATTAATTTCCTCACACAAACTCCCATGGCACGTCCATAATATCTACTCTATACGGCAGCCCCATCTCTCATCGGTAACCCTTTTCTGCAATAACGCCCAAGAACGCCGAGAGGTAGGCTATGGCGCTTCCTTTGGGACTGAATCCCTCTTGCGTTTGCCTTGTGTGTCAGATGTGGAATTTCTTAAAGCACACGATTGCCACCTCCGCCATCAACGTGGTGACTGGTCCAGTTAAAACTGTTGTGGTTTTCAGAAAAAATCCAGATCTCCGAGCTGATGCGGATGCGCTGCTGAGAGTGGCAGCAGCGTGCTCGGCAAGCTCCTTCTCTTGCCTCTACTATTGCTTGTCGCTGGTGCTGGTGCGAGCTACCAGCCGCGGCAGGAAATGTCTTGCAAGGATTGCACGACATCAACTTTGTAAATTCCTAGCTTCCATTTTTTTCATTAGTGTAAGTTCTCTCTTCTCCTTTCCCAGGTTGCCTATTGGGATCCTGATCAAGAACGAAAAACGAGTGTAGCAATCCCGCTCCACGAATCAATTTGTCAGCTCTTTTCCAAGCAGTTGCAAGAATCGTTTCATTTTCAAAGTCTTTTAACAATGAGGGGCTTTCACTGCCGAGAGGAAAAACCCTCTAGTACCTCTTGGAAGGAACAGCAACTCTTCTGTTCTCTGTGAAACCAAAACCTTATATTGATTGTAAGAGTTGGTATCAAGGGCTGCCTTCCTTGACGAGCAACAAGACGCCCCCTCCATCGCCACGGGAGATTCGCAGGTCCTCGTCCAATTAAGTGGTGAGCAGCCACGAGTGGGCTTTGTTGCCTGGTATCGAAAACTTAAGAGGTGGCTGACCTGAGAGTGTCCGCGCCACCGAGTTCGCAGCGTCTTGCAGGGGACGAAGAGCGTTTTGAGCTCGATTTTACGTCCCATGAAGTCGACGGTGTCTGAGAGTTCAATGGAATAAGTGAGCTGCGGTGTCCTTCCTCGAATTTAATCTGCGTTAAAGAGGAAGAACTCGTTAGTTATGAAAAATGTAGAAGAAAACCAGGCTCCAAGTTTTCTAAGCCAGTTATAGCTTCTAAACGCTACACTCTCTCTTTCGATCGGTTGGGCCGCCGCTTCTTCTTCTTGCAAGCTGGAGTTCAAATGCTCGTCTCACAGGTAAGCAGCATGCTTCTCTAGATCGATCGAAGTTCACACTTTTCCATTCGAAATCCATAGGTGGTGGTGGCGGTGATCTTGGGCGTCAAGTTTGGAGGAACCAAAGAGCTGGACAAAGTTTACGCTGTGATCGTCGTGATCGTCGTGATCGTGATATGCTGCTACGTCTCTGCCTTTGCCTGGTCTTGGGGACCCTTGGGCTGGCTCGCTCCCAGCGAGATTTTCCCACTGGAGATGCGATCGGCCGGGCAAGCGATCACGGTGGCAGTTAATCTCTTCTTCACCTTCGTCATCGCGCAGGCGTTCCTCAGCATGATGTGCCACATGAAGTTCGGGATCTTCTTGTTCTTCGCGGCTTGGGTGGCGATCATGTTAGTCTTCGTCTACTGGTTCATACCCGAGACCAAGAACGTTCCAAGCGAGGAGTGATGGATGTGTGGAGAAAGCACTGGTTTTGGAGGAGGATTGTCCCGGACCAAGATCCTCCGGTTATCCCATACAAGCAGGATGATGAAAGCAAGATGGGCGTAGAGATGACAAACTAAAGATCATTGAGAGAGAAAACTAAGCAGGATGTAGACGAAAAAATGTAAAAATCTATCACTGTCAACTTTAAGGCTAAGATCAACTCAAGAATTCGCCGCCACGGTCATGGTGAGACAAAGAAGCGTTCAATTCTATGCGAAGACTAGTGCCACGATCAAGCCACCGACCGAGCTGGGCATATAGCAAAGCTTCCAAGATTCCGAAGAAGAATCTATGGCTGGAAGGAGAACTCGTGGAGTGGCGAATGGTGGCGGCTTGAGAGCCGAGCTCTACAAGGGACGGACAACGTCTTACGTGATCCTCGCTTGCATTGTGGCCGCGTGTGGAGGCTTGATCTATGGCTATGAAATTGGAATCTCAGGCAAGGCCAGATTCTCATCGATCTATCGCGAATTTCCTTCGTCTTATCACAGGTGCTATGCCATCCATGCGGGCCGCATTCTTGGAGAAATTCAGCTTCCCCAGAGACGACTGCTCGAATGGAGCTCAGCGACCCACCACCTTGACGTCCTCGTTCTATCTCGCGGGCATCGCGGCCAGCTTGCTGGCCTCTCACGTCACGAAGATTTACGGGCGGCGGCTATCGATCCTCTGTGGAGGCCTCTGTTCCCTCGTCGGTGCCGTGCTCAGTGGTGCCGCTCAAAATCTAGCCATGATCATCTTGGGACGAATCATGCATGGCATCGGCCATGGCTTTGGCAATCAGGTGATTGGATGATCGGTTCGCAAGAAAAAAGATTTGATTCCTCGAATGCTCTGTCCAGGCAGTGCCGCTCTATCTATCAGAGATGGCGCCGGCAGAGATCCGGGGAGCTCTCAACATCATGTTTCAGCTCGCCATCACTATCGGGATCCTCTGGGCGAATCTCATCAACTATGGCTCCCTCCAAATCCCGGATTGGGGCTGGCGCCTCTCCCTTGGTCTCGCCGGAGTACCAGCCATCCTCATGACCATGGGCGGATTTTTCTTGCCCGAGACTCCAAATAGTTTGATCGAGCGTGGGCGTTACGAGGAGGCTCGCCGCCTCCTCACGAAGGTCCGCGGGACCGAGGAGGTGGATGCCGAGTACGAAGATATCAAAGAGGCAAGCGAGCTCGCAGTGGCAAACCCTTTCAAGGCCATCTTCCAGAGAAAGTATCGCCCCCAGCTCGTCATGGCGACCATGATCCCATTCTTCCAGCAGTTCACGGGGATCAATGCGACCATATTCTACGTCCCGGTGCTCTTCCAGAAGCTTGGATTTGGCACCGATGCGTCGCTCTACACAGCCGTGATCACTGGCGCTGTGAACGTCATGGCCACGCTCGTCGCCATCACCTTTGTTGATAAGTGTGGCCGCCGCGCGCTCTTCCTGGAAGCTGGAGTCCAAATGTTCGTCACTCAGGTGAGAAATGGATTGATTGCTTCTCAGTCTTGATCCATCAACTAAAACTCTTTGCACGATCATAGGTGGCGATTGGGTTGATCCTTGCGATCATTACACCATTGACCAAATCTTCTGCCGTGATCGTCCTGATCGTCATTTGCATCTACGTTTCATCCTTTGCATGGTCATGTGGGCCGCTGGGATGGCTCATTCCCAGCGAGATCTTCACGCTGGAGACACGGTCTGTCGCCCAGGGAATCAATGTGGCTGTCAACTTCCTCTTCACCTTCGTCAGTGCGCAAGCTTTCCCCGCAATGCTATGCCACATGACATATGGGATCTTCTTGTTCTTCGCAGCTTGGGTGTTGGCCATGTCCCTCTTCATCTACTTCTTTCTTCCTGAGACCAAGAGTGTTCCCATTGAGAAGATGACTAGCATTTGGAGGAGGCATTGGTATTGGAAGAGGTTTATTCCAGATGAGGATCCTCCAGCTCTTCCTTCCTATAGGCAAGATTGACTTGGTAGAGTTGAGCTAGACATAGAAAGGACCCTACCTTATCTAACAATTTAAAATTCCAGGAATGATAACAATTACTTCACAATGAATATTTTTAAATTGTCAACCTTAACAAACTTGATAAATACTAATTAATTGATACCAATTTTATCAACAACGACTTAGGAAAAAGAAGTCTTCAACAAAAAGATAAATCAACTTAAAAAAATCTCCATTCTTCCAATTCAAGAAATTAAGTTCAAGACTCAAATTCAAGAAATCAATTCAAAGAAGAACTCCAAAGATCAAACATAAGAAAACAACTTCAAGGAGATTCTTGAAAATCAAACTCAAAAATTCAACCCATAAAAAAATTTTAAACTCTAAGTTCAAAAAATTAAGAAAAGATACCACTAAAATAGACAATCATCACAATTCACTAAGATTCATCAACAAATGGGAACAAGAAAATAAGAAAACAACAACAAAAAAAAGAAAATTTAAGCTAGAAATTTGAATCCAGATTATGCAACACTTAATTAAATTTAGAACAATCTTAGCACCTCTAAAGGAAATGAAATGGGAAAGTGGGGTACAAAAACCCATGGCATCACTAACGAGTTTATCTTTGATCCCAACACAATTAGGGTGAGTCTCTTCTCACCTTGCAATCCTACTTAGAAAAGGATTGAAAAGTTCAATACATGGTTACACAAAGTTGGACTTCATAAGTTCTTAAAGATCTTGAAGAAGTTATATAACATCAATATTGTTAGAAAACTTTTCCTAGCATAAAAAGATTTTGTCCACAGTACCAACTATGAGTTTGTTATGAGTGTCAAGTACTTTGCATAAGCATTCAAACTTCCCACTAGTAGAGAGCAAGCGAGACATAAAAGGGATTCCACCAAAGTGTATTAAGGTACTTGAGAACTATAATAGAAATTCTCTACAAATGAGCAATATAATCAACAAAACCAAGCCACAATTTAAGTTTTTGATCTCCACACTAGAAATGTGCAAGTCCACAACCAAGAACATCCCAAACAAGAGTGATGCTGCAAGCCCAAGCTTCCACATTGGATCTTAAGCTTAGCATTTCTCTAGTTTGTGGACGAAATGTAGC